CGCGGCCGCGGGCTGCAAGGGAGCGGACAATGAAGCGCGGGGCAGGCCGGGCCGGCCTGGTCTTTGTTGGGCGAAAAGGAAGCCCGCTCAAGGAAAAATAAAAGGATTTTTCTTTTATTTCTTAATAAACAGAACTAAAATTCCATTTTGAGCCATTTTAAAAGCATTTTCACAAGTTGGTGTAAAATGAAAGTTGTTCGTAAAAAAGTACTCTACAACTTTGCCAAAAAGAGTAAGGCCAAAATCCAATTAGATTTTGAACTATAGATTGAAAGTTAATTTAAATCAAAACCCGATTTCAGAAGGTTATTTTTAAAAGCAAAATTTTTAGAAAACTTTGAATAAACACCTTGCTCCAAATTGCATCTTAGCTACTTCTAATTGGTCTAAGTGATCAACCAAGGTACACACATGGCAAAACAAACATAGCATCCAATCTATCAAAACAAAACTATGCAACATACATGATTCAATAGTATGCTTCCATTCTATATTTCTTGTCATGTGTATGCATGCAAATTAATGATCATGCTCATGATTTGCCAAATGCTAATGCATGCTTAACACCGAGGTGTTACACTCTTGAGTATAAGAATCATCAGCTACTAGACGTAGGGCATTGTTTGGCCCGAACTAGGATAAACCGTTGCGTCTTCTCTGTGATTCTTGTGTTCTTGAGTCCACCCGAGCCACTGGAGACCCGTACTATAACACCGACTCAAACAACTATGCTTGCCATGATTCTGACCCTGTGGTAGGGACCCACCAGCTAGGAACGGTCAAGAGTTGTCAGACGTTGGAGGTTTGTTCGACGCAGGTCGTCGGACCGGTCTGATGAGTAAAAATGCTCTCTGGAACCTTTCTACACTCAATCGGATGCTGGCGGCGATTAGTCCAAGGACCATCAAAAGACATCACGTTGGACTAATGGCTAGAGCGCGGTCAACGAGCCGTTAAGCGCCAACGGTAAAATTCAAATGGCTAGCTAACGAGGTGGCGACACATGGTGCATCGGACGTTGATACTTTGTCTGACGCCCATCGTCGGACTGTCCGATGCCCACAGGAAAAGCTACAATGAGAGTAATGGTTGGATATCTCACTTTGGGGCTATAAATAGATGGTGGTCAGCCCTTGGCTGGCTCTCTTGGTACTTTGATGTATTGATACACCTTGTGAGCCTAAGCAAACACCTCCCTCTCATCTCCTTGTTGATTGCTTCATCCTAAGTGAGATTGGGAGTGATCCTAGTGTATTTGCATTGAGTTGAGGCATCTAGTGGCACTAGTGATCGTTTGAGCTATGAGATTCTTGTTACTCTTGATGGTTGCTGCCACCTAGATGGCTTGGAGGTAGCGGAGGATCGTTGAGCGGCTTTGGTGATTGTCGTGGCGCCTCAGGTCTTCCTCGGCCGAGCCAAGGGCACCCATGAGCGTGGCCGGTGCTGGTGGTGCTAGCGCACCGCAACTTGCTGCTGGATCCTACCCCGATGATCGGAACCGATTGGCCCCGACCTTCCCCTTCCCTATGTTGTAAATGTATGTTTTAAGTGTTTCAGATGTTTCAAAGGTATGTTGTAATTGTTACATATGGATGTTGCAAAAGTAGATCAGGATGTTCCACGTGTTGCATATTTTTGCAAAGTGTTTTCAGCGGTATGTTGCAAACGTTTTGAAAAAAATATTCCATCTGTTTCAGACGTATGTTGGAACAAGTGTTTTATCTGGATGTTGCATATGTTTCACACATATGTTGCAAGTGTTTTATCAGGATGTTGCATATGTTTCATACACATGTTACAAGTGTTTTATCTGGATGTTGCATATGTTTCACAAATATGTTGCAAGTGTTTTACCTAGATGTTGTATATGTTTTACACATATGTTGCAATAATATGTTTCAAATGTTTCATCTATGTCTGACGTATGTTGCATCCAAGTGTTTCATGTTGCAAGTGTTTCACGGGGGCATAGTGAGTGATGGACGCATGGCCCGGGTGCCGGGGGATGGGGCGCGGCAGAGCTAGGGACCGGCTCTCGGGTCCTGCCCAAGTGGAGAGAGAGGAGGGGGTCAGGGGGAAGGAGCGGGGTGCGGGGGGCATGGTGCACCGTGCACGTGCGAGGTGTGGGCGGGCTGCGTGGCCATCCATCCGAGCGGTGGGCGCAGCGTCAAGGGCGGGGCGCACGTGCAAGTCAGAGCATGGCGAACGGAGGCGGGCTGCTTGGGTGTCCGGACGCTAGCCACGCCGAATTTTGATAGATCTATTGCAGTTTCTTTGTAAATATAGTTAAATTGCAAACATTATATCATTTTCATTAGAACAGCACATAAATTTTGTTAACGCACAACCAAATATCAAGAGTCAACCTTGAGACAAGATGTGCGCATGAGGTAAAAGTTAAAACACACACACACAGACACACGTGAGTATCATGCTTGCTGTTTATTTATTAGCATAAGCATATTTTACTATGGACCTATCTGTTTGTTTAACCCCTAGTTTATATAATCTATGTTATATAGTGCAGCTAATTTTAGCTTTATAATTCAGCTCATATGAACAATAGGCATCTATCCAATCAATCCTCACATAAGATGAGCCCAGACCAGCCCACTCTCTTCGGGTCCATTTGGATCACCGCAGCATATGACAAAGGAAAAAGTCCACTTTCCATCTCCCAACCTTCGCAAAAATGTGCTTTTCCTCCCTCAAGTCTAAAACCAGAAATAGTTCATCCCTCGTCTCACCAAACCGGTCACTTGACCTACAAGGCTGTTTCTCTCAATGGTTTTTCTTTTTCCTTTTATGTTTATTTCGGCTGAATCTTTAAAAAATCATATAATTATGTTGGACTCCACATGAGTAGATCTACACAGTAAACATATTATATAGTATGCTTTAGTACAAAGTTTTTGCTATAACTTTAGATCCATGCTTTTTCTGTAATAAATTCATAGATGCAGTATCTCTGGTCCAATTATAGTTAAATTTTTATGGTGGACTAATCATTGCATGCTTGACCTATAGTAAAAATTTCATCCTCATTGGATTAAGTATGATTGATTTATAGATTTATCTAGGTTTATGTTTGTTAAATAGTTTTAAAAGAAAATTAAATCTATAACTCAGTCATACATGATCTAATTAATAATCATAATTTTTTTGTTGGACTTCACATAAGTAGATCTACACAGTAAATATATGATATGATATGCTTTAGTATAAAGTTTTATTGTAGCTTTAGATCTATGATTTTACTCGTAATTAATTAATTCTTTGTAGTTTCTATAGTCTGATTATGGTGAAATTTTTATGGTGGGATAATCATTAAATGTCTGAAATGTAGCAAAAATTTCATGTTCATTGGATCATGTATGATGACCGAGTTATAGTTTTACATAGATAAATCTATAACACCGAGTTATAGTTTTATCTAAATAAACCTAGATAAATCTATAACTCAGTTATATATGATCCAATGAGTATGAAATTTTTGCTACACCTCAAGCGTGCAATGATTATTCCACCAAAAAAATTCTCCACAATTGGACCAGAGAAACTGTAACTATGAATTAATTACGGAAAAACATAGATCTAAAATTACAGAAAAACTATAACATATCATGTGTTCACTATGTAGATCTACTTATGTGGAGTGCAACACAATTAAATTTCGATTTTATGATTTTTTTTGTGATTTACTATGATTTTTCAAAAATTCAGCCAAAATAAACATAAAAGAAAAAAGAAAAACCGCCGAGAGAAACAACCTTGGAGGTCAACCGACCGGTTTAACTTTTGCGAAAGTTGGGGAGGCAAAGTGGATTTTTTCCTATGACAAAATAAGTGGTACGGCGTGCTTTCTTTTTTGAGAGGAGCGTGTGGCTTCTCGTGGGTAGAGTGGTGCAGGTCGTTTTGGGCCTTGGCCCATACGATGTTTGATTTAGCCCTTTTTTTGTTAAAAATATTTTAAACATAGTTTACTTTAATCATGATCAATGTTATAGATAATCGATATGTCAATTAGTTGTGTTTCAATTTTAATTTCTCATGTATAAGGGCAATCTGGGCATTTGATATCTTTCATCCATTCGTGAAACCATAAAGAACCATTTTGTCAAATGTTTTTGTTTTTTGAATTTTTTTGGCTTCTTCTTGGAGGCCGCTCCTTCCGAGGAGCCAGATCCAGAGTGTGTCTTTAGAGGAGCCGGTGCCCGTCAAAAAAGCCCTAAACAATCAACATCAAGTACATAACAGAATTAACCTTCGAATATGGTGGCTAGTTGTCAGTGTGGGTATTTATTACCTACGGGTTGACAGGTATGAGTAGTATATAACCACACTTAGAGCAAGTATAATAGCATGCTGGAAGCGGGCTGAATGCTGAGATCTTTGATGGAGAGAGAGAGAGAGAGAGAGAGAAGCGACTGTAAAGCTTACATAGAAGCTTAGACACAAGAACCAAGAAACTTTGTAAGAAAGACAAGTGAGTCATATATTAATCGTGAAGAGCTAGCTACTATATGGGTGGGCTAAGAGAAGGCTGCAAAGATTCTTACAAATTTACCTACCGGCTGTATTATTAGCCTTGCTCTTATACCCGTCTACCGACGGGTAGAAATTTCATCAATTAATAACAATATCTGTGAGTATATAAATTTGTCCATACTACTCGTCTCTCTATCAGTTATAAAACCCATGGATACTTGGGTATGTAGTGCCTATTGCCATCCCTATATATACCAGCTAGTCCTTGTCTTGCATATCTCAGGTGCCAGATGGAGACGGCATCTGCATGCCTCTGCGACAAAGCAAGGCACCTTACTTTTGCTGCAAACATATGCATCCAGGCCGCCACCCCGGCTCTCTGCCGCCTCTCTAATCGTCTCTAGTGCCATTCTTCCGTGTCTCCACAGGTGTATGTGCCGCCGCGCGCTTCAGCCTACGATTACTCTATAAGATTGCAGGCTGCATATTGGAGCAATCATCAGTTCGTCACCATGAGGTTGCCGTGGCCGTGGAGGCGGAGGCCGGCGCGGCAGCACGGTGAGGTGCCGGTGGCGGTGGGCACCCACCTCCACGTCGCGGCCGGTGACGATGACGACGACGACGGCGCCGAGTCCACGGCGTCGTCGGAGCACAGCCACCTCACGCTGCCGGTGGAGGAGCCGGTACACGTCTACGATGAGGCCGATTCCGGGGACGGCGTCCACGCTCACTACGAGGTGGCCGGGTCCGGTTCGGAGGAGGAGCCGCCGAGCGGCAGCGAGAGCGATGGCGAGCCGGGGGACGCCGGACACCGGTCGAGAGGGCCCCGGAGTCGACACCACAGCCCGAGAGGGAGGAGGAGGCGGTGGCGATCTGCCCGTGTGCCAGCGTTCGTGGTTGCCGGCACCGCCGGGGCGGTCATGCTGCTCGTGCTCGCGGCGCTCGTCGCGTGGAAGAGGCGGCAGCGCGCCGGCAGCAGCTAGGTGGATGGCGCGCATGCAGTTACTACTGCGGTAACGTTCGTGGCAGTATATTTGTGGTGTGGCACCCGGCCGTACGGTCGAGCAGTGTGTACGTGGGGCCGGGTGTGTAAAGTTCAGCGGTGAACTTTTTACTGTACCTTTTTTTACGAGGTGTGCATTTGAACCTAGAAATCAATTTGTAGCATCTGACATTTGACTATGTAAATGTTTTGTTTTGATAGTTGCTGATGGAAAAGAATACCATTTTGACTTTTTTATTCGGTAATGTTGGATATAGGGCGTCCGTCCAACCGGACGATGCCAATGGTGGCCACGATGCAGCCCAACGACATCTATCTTATCTCCTCATTCGCTCGCCCCCAACCGTTCTAAAAAAAGAAAAAACTCACCTCACCACAAAGACTGCGTGCCAAGCCCGCTTTTTGCCTCGGCGTGGCGCTATCCACCACGCTTTCCCTCTCCATCGAGCCTCCGCTCCGCTCACTTGGTAGGCATCTCCTCCGCGAGAGCACGACAGTCTGTCTTCCTCCCTCTCCACCGCCTTTCCTCCCACCTTGGCCTTCTCCAGCACGTGGACCCATCATAGCCTTCTCCACGGGACTCCTTGCGCCTTCTCCACTGTAGCGAGGAGCTCTCACGCCACCAAGAAGCACTACACAGTAGAACTCCACGCGCCAACAAGCCTCCATTCCCAAGCAGCAAGGAGATGTTGCACTGAAAAGCGCATGTTGCAAACGTATGTTTCAAGTGTTTCATATGTTTCAGAGATATGTTGGAAGTGTTTCATATGGATGTTGCAAAAGTAGATCGGGATGTTGCATATGCTGCAAAGTGTGCTGCAAGTGTTTCAGATGCATGTTTCAAGCATTTGTTCAAAGTGTTTCATTTGTTTCAGACGTATGTTGCAAGAGTTTTTATCTAGATGTTGCATATGTTTCACACATATGTTGCAAGAGTATGTTCTAAATGTTTCAGCTGTTTCATTCTTATGTTGCAGTGACTGTTTTCATGTTGCAAGTGTTTTATTTGGATGTTGCATATGTTTGACACATATGTTGCAAGTGTATGTTCCAAATATTTCATCTACTTCAGACTTGTGTTGCATTCAAGTTTTTCAATTCCTTATCTACCATTTCTCTACATGTTCATACTTGATATGGAATTGAGAAAGTTGGCGGTGTTGGTGGTGTGGATTCATATACGGCTATACTAGCAGATTTTTTCATGGAGAGCCAAAGATTCTCATATTGTGATTCACACGAATACGGGTTGTAGCAAATAGTTCTGGCTATGCTAATGATTGATACATTGGACAAATCTCTCGTGCACATGTATAAGTTAGAGCAGCGCATGTTCATACACTTTACAGAGTATGGTTTCAAGATGAATTAAAACATTGTTCAATAAATCTCAGAACAATAAATCATCTAGTTGACTAACCGCGCAACAAGCAGTATGTTCCATTACAACAAACAGACACATCTCTCTAGTAAATCAAAACATTGCGAAGCTATTGTTTAAGGAAAGTTGCAGTTTATATCACATTTTGGGTTATGGGCGACAACAGTTCAGAACTGGAGGGAAAAATATTCAGCTAGAAATGGTGGATCTATTTTGGGCAAGCGAGCGGTGGAGACGCCTAATCCTCACCGGCAGCGGCATCATTTTTCTCGTCCCCTGCTCGGATCCTTCAGGCTTGGCGCTCTACCTTCCCTTCATGTGCGGTCACGGTAGCTTGCTGATCTCTGAATTTGATCATGTTTGGCACTGTTCAAGCTCTGACAGTAGCTTATGCGGAAAAGCCATACCAAATACTTTAGAAGGAGAATCTATTTTTATGGTGAATAGTAGAGCAACTGAAGTGATGGGAACTGAAAAAAAAAATAGCTCCTCCTTAAGTGCTCCTCAGGTGGCGAGTGCAAAGCAACCGCTTTTAGACGAGATGACGGGTGCAAAACTTAGCCTGTGTCGTCCCAGCCATATAGGCCCAGTGTCAGGTTCATCAGATGCAAATGTTACCGTATCCTTCCACTAAGTGTTAAAGCCATTTGGTTGACGGACCGTCTAGCATCCTAGGAGAAAATGGAAGGAAATCTCGTTCCTCAGGAGCCTGGCTGAGGGTCTGATTTCGTAACATGGTGTTGGATCCGCGACTAAAATTTAGGTGTGTCGGGAGGATGTTGTATAGGGTGTATTCGGATACTAATAAAAAACAAATTACATAATCCGTCGGTACTCCACGAGATGATTTTTAAGGCTAATTAATCCGTCATTAGCACATGTTTATCGTAGCACATATTGTCAAATCATGGACTAATTAGCTTTAAAAGATTCGTCTCGCAAATTAGTCATAAACTATGCAATTAGTTTAATTAATTAATCTATATTTAATACTCTATACATATATCAAACATTTAATGGGATAGTGACTAAAATATAGGAGGGACAACCAAACACCACCTAAGTCCGATGCCAGGGGCAAAGTGCTTTTGCCACAGCCCCATCTACCTAGTTTGCGCGATCGTGAACCAATACCTTGTTTGGAATGAGTTTTTAAATGTAAATAATAAACTGATTTATGTGAAATTGCTGCTCAATTCCTGTGAAATTCAATGCGTTTGAAACAGGCAGTGAGATTTGGTGCTCTCTATCAACATGTAACGAAAATTACTGGATAATTGGGGGGCTTGGCAGCAATGTGTTCCTGTCTATACCCCTGTTCGTTTCGCTGAAATTTAACTTATATTGATATTTATGTTGATTGGTTGCGAGAAAAAATCTTTATTCGTTAATTTGAAAATATTGTTGAAATAGTTAGGCCCACTTATTTTGCACTTAGCAAACCCAAAACCCGACCTGACCCGAGTCAACCGCCGGGCCGAAACCGAGCCACCAATGCTCCGCCGCCGACCGCGCCTCCCGCAGCCCCTCGCCGCCGCCGGCCGTGCTCCGGCGAGCCTTCCGCTCGGAAGCCGCCCTCGAGGCCATCCGCTCGCACTCGCACTCGCACTCAGCCCCATCGAAGACCGCCTCACCCCCTTCCGACGCGGACACGGACGACGGCCAGGCGGGCCCCGCCAGCCTCGCGCTCTACAACTACCCCACCTTCGCTGGCGCCTACGCCGCGCTCGCCGCCCGCCTCTTCCACCAACGCGTCCGCCGCCGCCTCCTCGTCCTCCCCTTCTCCTCCGTCGTGCCATTCAGGTTGGTCCCCGCTCGTGGCTCGCCATTTCGGATTTCACTGGCTCCTACCAATTGTTGTAATCCGCGTGTGCGATTGTTCCTCCCATGACGGCTTGTGTTGTTGAAATGAACTGATCGATTAGAGCTGAAGACTTCAAGGATGTGGGGTTCCAGACGTGCTATCTCTTGGACTTCATTGGGCCCAAGAAGTTTGCTTTCGAGCTCGCCCGATTCGTCCCCAGGTGCGTTTCCAGAGAGAATGAGTTGCGGCAAAAATGGGTCACTGGAATACTGGATGATGCTTTTCATTGTACAGCTTGGTGAATTGAGTAGTCGATGCAACACTGATAATTAGTTAATTATTACTACTGCCGACAATGTTCAAAAGATGACTTGGAATAACGCCAATTAATTAGTTGAAGTTTACTGCTGCTGCCAATGTTTTAAAAAAGAAGTTGCTTTTGTGTGGAACAATCAAAAGAGAGGAACATATCTACTCTTAGCCTACAAGCTTTGCATAGTGATGATACCAGTTTGTGAAGTAAGCTGTTTACATACTTACAACACTTGAAGTTGCTAATCACTCCATATGGCTCATATTCATGTACATAGTGTAATTGCCCAATGGTTACACACCCCTTACTTTTTGGCTGATGTAAAACAAATACTATGTTGTTAGATCTCGTTTAAGTGAGCAACATGATAGAGGGGTATACCCTCATGACATTGTTGACTGATGCAGTGTGATAGCATTTGATCACCGGCAAAGTACGCTAGCAAGAATCCCCAAGTTGGGTCAGTGCCCAAGCAATGTGGAGCTTCATATTGACATGTCAAAAGGCAGTGCCCGATCTGTATTTGATTATTTCTCCAAGGAGCTAGCAGGAACAAAATCTGATTCTGTGAGTAGAGAAAACACTTCATTTATGTTCATTATCTTGTATGATTAGAAATATGAGGATGTTCTATTTCCACACAGAGAACGTGTGAAAACTTGTTGGACCAAGAAGATGCGGAGCGAGTTTCAAATGTTCTTGAATACATAGAGGATGCAGACTTGCGACGGTATCAGCTGCCTAACACCAAGGAATTTCAGACAGCACTTAGGGATGAACAGCAAAAGTTGAACTGTGTCACATATCCTCATGTTTTTGGACAGGTTTAGCACTACATTCTGCCATTATTCTTGTTGTTTGTAAGACCCTGATCATTTAGAATGACATGGTCAATGATTGCATTGTTGTATTGGCACCCCACACAGCTACTACAACTTGATGTTGGCGATCTGCTTGCTAGGGAGAAATCGCAAGCTCATGACCGCCTGCAGGCTGCAGGGGAGTTCATACAGAAGCCTTTCAGGATTCAGCTTGGAAGAGGGTCGTATGGTGAATGCTTGGTATGTGAACAACACGCTCTTGCATTTTATACTGATTTTATCACTTGTGTTTGTCTAACTTCGATAGCTTCATGCTGCATAACGTACGCAGCACAGCTCTTTTGATTACTGAAGGCAAAACTGCATTGCATTAGCAAAGGCAGGTACTTCTTGCATCCATGAGTGCTCTTGCTTTAGTGATACTATATGCTACTAGCTAGTGGAGATAGGCATGTTTTGTGCAAATTTGAATGCTTGTCTTAGCCTTATGTTATCATCTTTAATTGATCGATACCTTCTTCCACGTTCCAAGAGCACAGTATAAGATGTTCTATTGTAGTAGCTCATGCTTGCCGAGTTTTTTCAACTGGACTTTTGATGCAAATTGACGGAATGGTTTTATGCTTATTTTTAACCACATGTGTTCTTGGATTGTTGTGTACCTGACCTTGAACTTGGCTGGACGCTTGAGTATGACCAGCTCTAGAGACTGGCTCTATATGGCCTATATAATGTTATTTTTTGGGAAAAATATTATACAATTAGCTTTAAAAATGTCACATTTGCTATAGTAAATGTTTTTCTTTTCCTTTTTCAAACTATAAGGCAATCAGAGCAGATGGACACACAGAATTGAGCCATGAAATTGGTTTGGAGTTAAGTCAGAGGAGTGCTGCTGCTGGATTAAGGTATGAGCTCTATTCAGGTTTAACAGAACACATCCATGCCTATTTTGTGTTGCTTTGGTAATTTATTGAATAATGTTTCCCTTTTCATCAAAGGCCAATTGGAGCAGTGGTCTTCATGCAACGGGGTGTCCTAAAGGTTTGCTTGAGGACTACTGACAGTACAATTAATACATCAGAGATTGCAAAGGTATGCCACCGTTGTAATTGTATTCTTCAAATCTGCATGGCCTTGTAGTTGGATTTGATTGTTCATCTCTTGACACATCATAAAAATGTAGGCATATGGTGGAGGTGGAAAACAAAGTTCTAGTTCATTCACTCTAAGAATGGATGAGTTCAACATCTGGACTTCAGTGAACTCATGAATTGAACTGGAAGTCAAATAGTGTTCATACTGCGGGAGCAGGCACCCAGCTCAGCTGGACATGGATTTCCCTAGTGGTGAAGATGTGAAAATGGGGTGATCTTTCAGTGCTCCTGTATGAGAGGAAGGAAAGCAAAAGCTAAGACTAACCTGACATGCTGATCTGAGCTTACAGAACAATCTCTTTGTTACGAATAATTAGAGAGCAATTCGGAGGCGTAATGCTTAAGGTTGGAGCTGTTTGGAAGAAGACTTGATGCGTTTGAATGAAATGCTTGCTGGTACATCAAAAGTCATCTCAACAGCGCCTTTTATGTTCCTTCCAATTTTTCTCCAGTAGACCTATGTGCTTTCGTTTTACAGAGATGATAAGGGTGGTGTAGACAGAAGATTTGTCATACACCAAGGGGCCAATTATAGCTTACACTTATGTATGTTGTTATCAGTTTCGACGGCTGAACATATATGGAGATGTAGCTCAGCTTGAATATAACTTGGTTTCTGTCCAAATTAAGACCTTGCTCAATAGGTGAATGCATCGTGCAACGAAAATTGTTGCTTCAACGAGGACTGAATATCAAGCTCCAGTGGCAGAAAGGATCTGCTTCTATTAGAGTAATTACAAGATAGTAACATATGAAGGGGAGATTGACAAACTGCAAGCCCAAATTGTAATCCTGCTCCTTAATAATACATTTATGGCTCTTGCTCTGGGGTTAAAAAAATTGCATCTCCAAATTGTTCCTCATTACGAACATCTCTGTAACACAGAACCACAAAACTGTAGGTTTAGCTTCAGCGAGCGACACGGTGTTCAGACAAGAACATCTCATCTATCCGTGCTCATGGAGTAGTAATGAATCAAATCCCGCGATATGTCCGATCCTCTTGTCTGACCCTTGTCCGGCTCCTTCCAGCGTATCAGGATAGCGTCGTGGCCTTTGAGCCACGTCCACGTGGCATACGAAGGCATCACGGCAACTAGTTTGCTGCATTCGAGGAGCACAGCCACAGCAACAGTGAAGCAAAACCATAGTGGCATAGTGATTTGTGATGCAGCCATCTGAAGTCTTGAACTGAGGAAGATGACAGTGTCCAGGAGCTGACCTTGGAATCAAGCAACACAGATTCACTCTCTGGCTCTCTTGTGAAGATAACGGAGAGAAAGAACCCTAGAGCAAAGGTTTGCCAAAACCACCCTGTAGCATTCCTTGGATCAACCTTTTTGGCCAAGAACCAGGCATACACAGCTTCACCAAGATGCAATGCAACTGCTGTCACAAAGACCAGCCGGATCACTAGCATTGAGCGGAAAACAAACAAATGGATGTCAAGCACCAATTTCAACGGGCCAATTGGTGGAAGACAAGCAGAAGAAAATACAGCCAGCAACCCGATTGCTACAGCCAACCTAGTAAATATGGTTGGGCCATCTAGTTCCCTTCTCTTCCGCTCCTGCCAATATGAGATAGTTGCAGCCAAGCCTTCCCGAGGACTCACCATAGGTACATAGCCGAGTTCTTCTCTAGCTTTCAAGAAAGAAAAGTAGTGTGTAACACCAACCTGCCACAATTAGCAACCAACATCAATGTACTATTTACATATGATCTTAACTTTTGTCCAACATCAAATCAAGCACAACTATTATTTTTGCAAATCTGCTAGCCTAGTCAAGAGTAGTTTTCGATAGAGAGATCCCTTGAAAAGGACTGATTTTTCAAACTAAAGATGAAATTTACATGACCAATGCACTTGCATCTTACCATTATATTCACATTTCAAACTATATTGGGTTAGATAAACTAGCAACATAAAAGAGAGACCAAATTCAACACGAAAAAGAGGCTGACCTTGTACACTTCAGCAGGAAGAATCAGAGGCTGTGGGATCCATTTACTATCTAGCCATGGATAGAACAGTGTAGATATGAATAAAAATATTTTTGAAATGGCAAGGGCGACAGAGGTATCCAGTGTCACTTGAGGAGCAGCATAACCCAAACTCTGAAATAGGGGGCTGACGATAAATTCAAAAGTATTGCATGGTGATCCTGTGAAACAGTCATGGCTCAATAAGGCAATGAAATGTATAATTGCAAATATATTCACTGTGCTCTATGCAGCGGCGGACCTAGGTTATATTTCAGGGGGGCTGAACAACACTGCTGTTCGATTTTAAGTCTCAGACCCCCCTACACTATAGAACTTTGCCTAAAAGATTATGGGGGCTCCACAGGGGGTTCCACTGCTCCGACATGGGTAGGGGAGGCTTGAGCCCCCCCCAGCCCCACCGCTGTGTCCGCCCCTGGCTCTATGTCACAGGCATTCCAAGAAAACAACTTTTCAGGTGATACTTCCCTTAAGGAGAAAAAGTCTAAATTTCAAAGGTTCAGTATTCAGTTATTCACTTCTGTAAACATGTCATAGAACACTATGTATTTGTATTGCGAACAATTCTGTTATTCAAATAATGGAATCCTGGGTTACCTGATTACGGAAAAAAATGAATTGTGTTAAGCTTCTAGTGTTCAGAACAAATGAAAAGGAAGTCACTAAATAACTACGTTTTTGGATCTATATTCTATGCAGTACATCAGCTGAAAATAAATCACTAACAATCACAGTACTGTAAAAATCAAGACATCAAAACTTGGATGTCTTCTCTACTTTGATTAGGATTAAAGTTTTTTTTAAAATTAAAGTAATAAAAATAGCAGTATGACAAGACAGAAAAACAAAGCACAATGATGACACCTGCATGAATGTCATTTAGTAGCATCACAAAGGTTAACAACAATTACCATCGCAGAGAATCTCAGTCTGTCTCCTGAGACGCGACCCCCGCGTCGCTCCCACGCGAGCGGCTCGGGCGGCTCCTCCCCCCAAACCTTAGCAGCCCCTCCCCTCCCCTCCCCCGCCGCGCCGCCGCCGGAGCTGGCCGCCGGCATGGTCGCCCGGCCGGCAGGGATGGCGGCGGCGGGGCCTTTCTCCTCTCTCTCGGCGGCGCGTGCGGCAGCAGGCCGACGGCCCCTCCCCTCGCGTGAGCTACGTGGAGCTCAGCGGGGAGGGCCGTCGCGGCTACGGCGGCGCCGGCTAGTGCCCGAGCTGGCGCAGGGGACGGCGGCGGGCTCTCCTTCTCCTTCCGCGTGTTCCCCTCCTCCTCTCTTGACGGCGACGGCGGCGACAGCTGGGGCCACCGGTCTGGGCCACGTGAGCTCAGATTCGGTGCCCGGGTGGCCGGATCTAGACTCCAGGTGGCCAGTTCGGCTTCGGGGCCGGCGGCGGGCGGTGCCTGCGGTCGTGGTCAAGACGGAGGCGGTGGCGGCGGCATGGGGCGCCGGGTTCGGGGCCTGGTGTCTGGATCCGGCGGTCCCAGGGCAGGGGGCGGCGCCCGAGATGGTGGGGCACACGCCCTGTTGCGGCTGGCGGCGAGGTCGGCTGCGACATCAGTGGGTGCCTAGGCCGACGAAGATGGTCAGTGGCGGCCTCGTCGTGCGGCACTGGGACGCGAGCGGTGGAGCCAGGTCCGGCTACGCGTGGCCCGGACAGAGGGGGTGACGGCTGACGCAGCTGTGCGGCTGCTGCGTGCAGCCGGCGCGTCGATGCCCCTCTGAAGGGGCTTCCGTGGAGCGGTGGGACAGCAACGATGGCGGTGTTGGCTGGCAGGGGGTCCGGCTTCGCGACCCGACGTTCGTGCTAGAGGGTTCTTGGGCGAAAGCCTTGGCGACGGCGACGCCATTGGGCGCCGCTTCCCTATTGGGGGCGTCGTGTTCCCCTCTAGCATGTCATCGAAGGGTGACCATCGGCGTCGCTCCCTTTCTGAAGCCGTCGCATCTGGATTATTGCCGCGGCCTCGATGCGAGGCATGGGTTTACGACTCGAAGTCGGAGCTGCTCTTCGTGGGTTGAGCTTGGCAACGATGACCAGTGGCGGTCGTTCCTTTGGACCCGTCAGGAGGTGACCAGTGGGGGCCTGCCATGGGAAGTCCAAGCTGCTGGCAGCTTTGCCTCCATGCTCGACAATGATGATCCATAGCAGTATGTCGTGTTTGTGCTCATTCGCGTCGCGTGGGGTGGTTAGCCCCTCGGGTGCCATTTTGGCTACTCGGTTGGCTAACCTTCTTGTACATTATTACTTTCTTTCGTCTTAATTGCATGAGCGGCAGAGCTCCTGCCTTTTGTTTCAAAAAAAAAAATTACCATCTCAGATGAAATACGCCTGACCAGCTGCTACAGGGGTTCCCTTCCTGTCAGGAATGTCGTCTAAAAGTCCCATGCTTGCCAATATCAGAGCAAGAACTAGATTATCGATATAGACCCAATCTGTCTTGACATCTGGGCCCCCAATCTTGAAGAATACTAATCCCAACTTTGCAAGGGACAGGATTCTTGGAAGGTGACGCTCTTCACCTGGCCCATATATAGCAGCAGGGCGAATCACACATGTATAAAGACGTGTACTTTTATCACTTCTGCAAGATTTCACCAAATCAGTAAGACAGGCTGCGTATTATCAAATGTCACTCTTGACTTACAAAATGAAATGAAATGACTATCTGTTGTTTAAGAAGGAGCAATAATGCATGACAACACTAAGATTTTCACAATCTAAGGAATTGTGCAAAGAGTAGCATTGGCTTAAATTATTTATTTAGAATTGTCGTTTTGGATGTCAACAGTCTCCAACAAATAAGCACAGTTGCCATATTTTTCAATCGTGCATCAGCAAAGAATATTAAAAATTACAATGATATGGCAGTACTTTGATGGTGAATCCATTAATACAAATTAATTATTTCCATGCAACAAATGTGTACATTTGGTATAGTTTTAAAACCTTGGTTCATGTATTCCAGTTCCAGGACATCTATTTTCAAAAGGAGGTAAAAGTTAGCTTACTGTGTACATGACACTAAAGCCTAGAAAAAAAGGTAAACTTACTTTGCTGGCTGCCCATTACTCTTCAGTACCAACTGTTCAGCAACTGATTTGCTGTGCCCATA